AATGGATTTCTCTCTTTATCTGATTATTGGTTCTGAACTGACTCTAGGGTGCCCGGTAGCTAGTCACTACCAGGGGTGGGCGTTTCCCTCCCATTCATTTATTTACGTGCCAGGAATTGAGCGCACAGTTTTGCAAGACAAAATGAGCGAGCAACACAAACGGGAGAGAAATAGCTTTCAATTTGTTTAATCATTCGCTGGGTATTGGCAAAGAATCTTTTCTTTGACGATCTGGCAGTGCTGAAGCCCTGAAACGTTAAAATCTCAGATAAAAATTTGGGTGTCCGAGACCCCAATTTCGAGGTGCAAAATGCAGGCGGAGTAGAGCTGTGAGGGGCCGAGGCTGCTGGGACAAAGCCCTGTGCGACCGCGGAGATCTCGCGAGATCTGGGTTGGTTCCTTTGCGACGCCGTAGGTCCGGCGGGCCGGGCGCATTTGAGTTGGGAAGACAGTTTGTGGGCTGGCCAAGGGCGCGGGGCGCTGGGTTTGCCCCGGCCGCTCTGGGCAGGCGCGCCTATGGCGTTCCTAAGGTGACGCTGCCCATACCGAGTTTTCCTAGGGCGGAGGAAACACCTATGAACCTTTCGGCGACCTTCCTCTCCGGGCGCCAGGTGAGCGGCCGTCGCGCCCGCCGAGCGCCGGCCGGCTCGTCGCGCGCGTTTGGACGCGAGTAAAACCCTGGTCACTTGAAAAAACAGTGCGTTTTGGATAAATTCAAATGTTGCTCTTAACGCTTCCTGCTTCAATTTGAAACAGTCCACAAGTACAGGAGTGAAAACTGCGCGTCACACCTGTCTTCTTAACGTAATCAAACTAAATCGGTTACTCGGTCCAGGTACAAAGGCACGAGTAGGGGCTCACTGTTTAATGATAACGGTTGGCATCTGTGAAACTGATTCCTACCGGCGCTTCACTTGCTCCCCTAAGTTACCTCACGGTAAACTCCGTTATAGGAAAACGGACTAACATGGACTTGCCCATGGCGCCCCGCCTTGTTTTATTTTGTTTATTTATGGGTGTAACAATGGCGTGGGGGTATTCTCTGACCTTGGACTTCAGGAGGGGGTGAGGAGAGCGTTATTTGCTTCAACAGCCCAAGGCGGAGGTCTTCACCCTCCATTTTTTTTAAAATACCAATTCTGACACCAACCATCCCTTTCCAGGGAACTCCCTACTTTGGTGCATGTGGTGTGGCAGAGTACATGGTAGATTTGAACTTTTTAAAATGTACATAATTTCTATGCCATGTTATTAATAGTGAACAAAAAGTTCATTAATTAACTGGGTAGAATTTGCAGCAAAAGAAGATAGAATTTGGAAAACATGCTTTGGCTGATTTATGTTATTGATTTGTTTTCTTTTGATGTGAAACCACTTTTTCCATGCAGAATATCGGATCAGAAGTTGAGGTGTCCACTATTGAGAAACAGCGGAAAGAACTGCAGCTGCTGATTGGAGAGTTAAAAGATCGAGATAAAGAGCTCAATGACATGGTCGCGGTACATCAGAGACAGCTGCTTTCATGGGAAGAGGATCGGCAGAAAGTGTTGACTTTGGAAGAACGTTGTAGCAAATTAGAAGGTCAGAATACTTGCAGCATCATCTCTTACTATCTGTATGTGAACACATTTGAAAGGCTCCCAGGGGAGATAGAGAAGAAACAGGGGACACAATCCCTGCTGTCTAGGAGATTAGTCTAAATGAAGATAGAAGACTTTTGAACACTCACAATCAAACAAACAGATGCAAATTAAAATAGGTCAAGCAAAGCCCTTAGAGTGAAAAGGGTGCCTAGGTTCTCAGTCTCATTAGTTGTTAAAAACCCACTACCATCGACTAAATGCAGGTTCATAGTGACCGGTTCCGACACGCAGCCTTGGGTTCCCAAAGCTGTAATCTTTATGGAAGCAGACTGCCACATCTTTCTCCTATGGAGTGGCTGGCGGGTTCAAACCATCAACCTTTTGGTTAGCAGCCAAGAGCTTTAACCACTGTTTCACTAGGACTCCTCTGTTAGTCATTAAGGAAAAGCAAAATAAAGCCATAATGAGCTACCATTTCCCATCTACCAAACTGGCAGAAGCAATTAGGTGTTGGTAAAGATGTGGAGCAAGAAAAATACCCATGCCTTGCCTGTGAGACTTGTCTGCATGTCTTCTGGCCCATTAATTCCACTTCTAGAAATATACTCACACTATTAAAGTGCATATGAATCAACTAAGGATCTTGCTAAGGTTAGATTATGATTCACTACGGGAGCTCTGGTAGCATAGTGGCTAAGGCACTTGACTGCTCACCAGAAGGCTGGCGGTTCAAACCCACCAGCCACTCCTCAGAAGGAAGGTTGGGCAATCCTACTTCCGTAGTGATACTGCCTCGGAAACCCAAGGAGGGGTCGCTATGAGTCGGGGCCAACTCGGCGGCAAACAACAACAACAACATGTCTGGGCCTATGATTCTGCTGGATGATGTCGACGCAGCTGGCCCTGGACCACATTTTAAGTAACAAGGCTCCAGAGAGTCTTGCATCTGGGCACCAAGATACAGGTACAGAGCTATTCAAAGCAGCATAGGCCGTGATAGCCACAAAGTGAGAACAAAGCAAATGACCTTCAGTACTGGATGGATAAGTGAATTTTGGTATAATCACGTCATGAAATAGCCTGTGATTGTGTATGACAATATGTTGTGATTACATGAACCGAGTTACATGCAGCAACATGGACAAGTCTTTGGATTGTAATCTTAAGCGATAAAAGCAGAGAAGAATTCATGGAGTATAATCCATTATGTACAGTTCAAGGAGCTGTATACTTTAGGGATGTGGTTAAACGATAATGAAAAGAGAAATTATTTCAGATCAGGGTGGTGGTTGAGAAGTAGAAGCTGGAACGATGGTGTTCAGGAAGCAACAGAAGAGGCTTCAGGGCTGCCAGCGTGGTGCACAGCACACACATGTTCCCTATATAATTATTCGTTAAACTGCACACAAATAAATTTGTGACTTCTGTTTTCATGTGCATTTATTTTTAAAACTGTCTTAAAAAAACCTATCCTTTAAAACATTTTTTATAAGTTTTTACTTTTTAATTTTGAAAATAATACATTTTAAGCTTCAGATTGGACCACAAATAAATGATTGATGACATTTCCCTCAGGTGAACTACATAAAAGGAGTGAAATAATCAGGTCGCTCATGAAGAAGGTAAAAACCCTCGAATCGAATCAGAATGAATGCCAGGTGGCCCTTCGAAAGACTCAGCAACAGCTTCAAGAAATGGCTCAGAAGGCAACCCATGCTTCTCTGCTCTCTGAAGACCTTGAGGTCGGTATTCTTTTTTAATAGGCTTTCCTTATCCGAATTCTGATTGTTTCAAAAATTCAATTTAAATGAAATGTTTCCACTTAAAATGCTTGTCTTTGTATGCCATGAACTCTGCCTACCTCATAGTCTTGTGTCCATTGTAGTATTTTGGTTAGTTGCATAGCATTACCCTGTCTCAGAGGTCAAGCTTCATGAAAACCTACAGT